GATACTTGGACACTTGAAGAAAGTCAACATCAAACTGTTTCTTGACTTCTTCCTTTATTTTAAGGAGCATTTCATGTCTTATCCTCATGAGCTTTTGTTGTACATGTTTGCATTATGGCCTGATGGGTAGTTTATGGACTACCATATATGTATCTAGCCTAGGCATGTCTTGATAGGACCATGCAAACACATCCTTGTACTCCTTAGGTAAGTTTATCAGGCTTTGCCTTACTTCAGACGAAATTGTTGTGCCAATTTTAACTTCATTCTTTTCCTCTTCTGTGCCCAAATTCAAAACTTCGATTTTCTCTTCATGTGGTAATATTTGTTTATCTTCTATTTTCACCATTCTTAATAATTCAGAAGGTAAGTTGCATTATTCTTCATTGTCACATTCATCAATTTCCCCAAAATAGCTTAGCTACTCAAAATTCACCTCCAGGTCAGAATCATCATTGTCCACATCATTAATATCTAAGGACCTGAAAGGGAAAGGAGAAAATAAATATGTATGTGGGAGAGGAAAAGTATCCCACATGAAATGAAGAATTAAAATTAATCATGGAAGAAGGGAAATGAAGAAGAAATATTTTTTTGTCGGAAAGGAAAATTGCATCTTTTATTGAAATATAAATAAAAACAATTTATTAACCCTTACATAAGATCACCTATTGCTTCGGGTATAAGCAAATAGGGAAAGTTTGAGTATTACTCTGAAAGAGATTTGAAAACCACATGTAGTTCTTCAACCGTCCAGTTGTTAAGCACAAACCTCAGCAGTAACGGACGTATTCTGAATCTCTATAATATAAAATAAATATAATATATATAATATATAATATAAATACACTATAACATATATATATATATATATATATATATAATATACTATAATATAATATATAAATATAATATATAATAAAAATATATTATATATATACTATATTATAATATACTATACATAAAAACTATATATATATAATAATAAAAAATCGAACGAAAATATGTGTGTACAGAACTAATTTAAAATGAGAGTAATATTTTAAAGACGTATGAGGTAATTAACTTAATTTTATTCTGACATCTCTATGTGCCCCTCTTTGTGCCCTACTAATAATATTTTGACACGTGTGTTTTTATTTATATGGCAACACATAAAGATTACTTTCCTGATTTACTTCACTTTCACATTCTACTTTTACCGAAGGCTTTGGAAAAGATGTACATAATATGAACTTTTCCAAACCCACTTTCACCCAGAAAATTAGTCGATGAAAAGTTATGTATTATCACTTTTACTTGGTTAATTGTATGCATATCGATATCAACAATTGCAAAATCATCTTAAATTTGTTTCGTTGTTTGTTCATCAGGTTTTTTTCTATTTCTTTTATTTATTTTTTTTAAATGTAACCAACAACTAGTTGATTTAATGAGATGAGACATTAGATTTTTTTAAATTAGATCATAGGTTTAGATTCTAACATTTGTAAATAGAACAAGCTAAATTGAAAGGATCACTCCGTAATAACCTTCTATAAAACTCAATTTAGATTAGTTGATCAATATATAAGATAAAATAATTAATTAAAAAATATTGTAAGAAAGTTATTGACGTGTCATGATTTAGTTTGATGTTTAGACCATATTAATGAATTAATTACTAATGTTGGTTTAATGATCAAAGTTGGAACGAAAGTTCAACCAATTATAATGCAAACATGGCTGCTTTATTTGGAATGACCTATACAATAACTGCTAAATAATACATGGATATCTATTTTTTATTTTATTAAAGAAAGTATTTGCAATGACCTAAACAAATAATGATAATTAATATATTTTCATTTATTTTATATATAAAAAATTCGAACCCGTGGTACTTCATTTCCGGCTTTCGTTTAGTTTATTTTGTGGTTTTGTAGTGGACAATTTTATCGAAAGAAGAAAGGAAAATATATTATATTATTCATTCTCATGATCTTGTTGATGTTATAGTATGATCTTGAAATCTTTTGGCAACCAATCTATATTGAAGATTATAATTTTTATAAGAATGGTGACGTAAATAATTTTTTAAACAATCGAGATAATTATAATTTAATATTTATTCTCGTATTACTTTTTATATTTTATCTCGAAATATATACTTATGAACTCTTTATATTATAAGGTTAAAAGTAATGCAATCTTTTTTAGAGGGTGTTTGGTTCGCGGAAAATATCATTACCAAAGGAAATAATCTTTTTTCAGAGTTGTATTCTCACAATTGATCCGCGAACAAGATCATTACCTGATAATAACTTATTACTAATAGTAGCATTGTTTTGGTTAAAAATGACGGGAATTTCATTACCTCTAAATTCTTAGGTAATGAACAATTCTTACCCTTTTGAACAAGAATACCCTTAGACATCATTAAATTAATCTATTTTAATATAGATGTGTTAAATAAGATTAGAATCTGATCGACGTTATAATATTTTAAAATATAAGATACGATACATTATAGTTCAATAAAATTAGAATAATGAAGATAATTTATTAATTTAAAATATGTAAAATGATACATTTCAACTATAACATATTAAATTCACTTTTATTTTTCAGTAAATGTGATTTAAAATATAAATAAAACATATTCATTTATTAATCAATTATAATATTTGTTTATATATATTTTATATTTTCACACTATTCAATTATTTCATGTTTGAGCCCTTATAAGGTTATTTATTACCATTAACTATATTATAAATTATATAGATTATATTTTGTATACTAAAAAAAATTAGTGGTGTAACTTAGTGGTCTAACTTAGTGGTCAGGGGGCATAGTTTTTTGGCTTGCGTCTCAGGTTCAAACCCCATCAACAGCGGTTATTGATTTAATTTATTTTTCATTAATTCAATTGGTGACACGTCACACCATTGATTGGATGAAAATTTTATTAAATAAAAAATTAAAAAAATCCAATCACATAGTGACACATGTCACCATCGGATTGAGAATTAAATTTATTGAATTAAATGAAAGTTAGAACTAAATGTGTAACTATACAAAATTTTTAATTGCCATGTCATCTCCTTCGTTAATACTTAACGACACGGGTGGTTTGATTAATAATATTTAAATAGTTAAGTGACCCAATTGATAAAATTGAAAAACCGGTGGTTAAAGTAAAAGGAGTAAATAGTTAGGTGGTTAGTGGTATAATTTCCCCTAAAACCTAATGTTTTATAAATATTGTATTTTAATTAAATTACATTTAAAATTTTAATTAATTTATAATTATGTGTTTAGTATTTTATAATTTAACATTTTATAAGCTAATTTAATATGCTCATCATTAACGGTACTCATCTGAGCTTGTCGAGCGTGGTAGCATCATCCATTCTTTTTATATAAATCTTTCTCAATTCTAATTCTTCGTACTTTACTCAAAATTATAAATATAATAGTAATATACAAAGAGTTTGATTTCTTAAAATATTAATAAATTTAAGTAGTTACAATTATTTTATACTTTTAATATATTAATATTTTATAATTTTATGAGGTGAAAAATGATATTATTATAAAAATATAATTATTTAAAATAATTTTATTCATTGAAATTTAATATTTTTGTCCACTCATACCATAATATTATTTGTATATTATATTTTATATAAATAAATATGATACTTATGAAAATTATTAATATATTATACTTTATATAAATAAATATGAAAATTATGAAAATTATTTAAAAATATAAGTTTATATACTAATTATATTAAATATATTTTTCTTAAACGATACATAATGTAACATTAAAAGTATTTTTATGAATTTTCATTTAAATATTCATAATTTAATATTAAAGTTTAACTTATTAAAAAAATATATCGCATGAATAATTTGATAAAATATGTATCCAAATAATCTTATATTCCTTCAATTAAACATTACAATCTTATATTCCTACTAAAAAACAAACAATATAATACAACTTTCTCATAGTAATATTATATTTCAGTAACCTTATTCTCAAACATAATTTTATATTCTGTGAACTAAACGTCCCTTTAAGATAAATAAGATAATTTAATTCTATATTTTTAATAAAAAAAAATAAAATTTTCCTGCCAAGTGTTTGAACATAGAATCTGGTAAAATATTGTTGCCAACTAAACTTCTCGGACATGATTTAGTAGAAGAATAAAAGTTTGTAGTGAAGGGAACAAATGAGCCTCCATTTATAACCGTAAATAAGTCGAGTCGAATATTATTGAATTTAATTTAATTTAATTTAATTCAAAAATTTAAAATTTAATTTAATTAAATTTGAAATTTTTGGAAGTTTAAGATTATTAAGTTTGACTTAACACAAAATTAATTATCAAAGCTAGACTTGAATACGAAAAAATTTAAACTTGAAATATTATCAAATTTAACTCGATTGAAGCTTGAACTTGAGTTTAAACCAAAACCTTAACTACATGAAAACTTTTTACTACATTTAAGAACAACTAAATTGAAGCTCGCAAACATTTTTAGTCGGATATCAATGAACACGTTTCGACTCGTTAAGAATTCAGGTCGAATTCATTCCAATTGAATGTTGATTGAATCAAACTCAAATAACTTGTTATATGCCTGATCGCATTTATAATCCTAGCTCCATTAAACACGCCCACGGGTGTTTTTGTATAAAAGCAATTATAGGACACCATGAAAGAAGAGTTTGAGATAATTCAGAGCAAACCATAGTTGTTCACCAAGTGTATGATAAAAAAGATGCATATATTGGTTGAAGACGATGTAGTTTTTTCTTTGAAAATACATGACTAGGTGGTAATCATAATAGAAATACAATAACAATTGAGTGACTAAATAATATATTTTTACTTCCCTACTCCACCCTATGTCCCCATCCTACAAATTGAGCAAAGCTTGCCCTTTCTTTTTCCCAAATAAAAACCAAAGTAAATAAAATTCCATGTTTTTTTATGAACAAAATAAAAATCCCATTCTTGAATCATCAGACTTGTTCTTAAATCAAAGCCCAGGTAAGAAAAAAATAATCCTTGTATTCATGGTAAAAAAAATTCATCTTAGTACCTAAACTATGTGTATGGGTTTATTTTGTAGGTTTTGGGTCCTTATTATGATGTGTATTTGGGAATACCTAATTTATAAGTTCTTAAATACGTTTTTCTTAAGGCATCTTTTGGGAAGAACCCATTTGATTTCTGATGATTTTACTTCAAAATAGCACACTTAAAAGCCCTTGCAGGTTATTTTGTATGTTCTCTGTAAAAAAAATTGTGTTTGAGTTTCTATATGGACGTTGATGCAATCTCTTGTCAGTTATGAGTGCTTGTATTATTACGAAATGTAGCCTTAAGCTCTAACTTTATGTATGTTCCAGATGAAACCTTTGCAGCAACTTATTCATTCAGTTGTTAACTAAGATAATATAAGTAGTGTAGGTTTACATTTTCATTAAAATCACTGTTGCAATACCTTTTTTTTTAATTTCTTTTTATGATGCAAAGAGGACACGCTTTGTTATGTTGAAAGCTAGTTGGCTTTAACAACTTTAATTCCTAAAGACGTGTTTTGCGAAAGAATCGATTTAGATAAATGATGCTGAAGCTGTGGGATTACCAAATTGCTAATTGATGCATTCTTGGGGATGGGTGTTGAATACGGGTATTTTTCACTCGGGATATTTGGAGGACCATACTCCTGTTAGCATGTATGAGTAAGTTTGGAACAGATATAGGTACCTTGTGAAAATGACGAGTTGGATAGCATGGCGATATCTTTAGTTTTGTCAATATAGATGCAAATGAATTGCCTTGTTCATAATAACTTCTTTTATTTCCATGCAAATGAGCCTGAGGTGTTTTCAGAACATTACAGGAAATATAATATCTATTCTATTGTAGGTATCCTACATTCTGATTCTTAGCAATATGTTATTATGAAGAATAATTCGAATTGCTGCTTCTTAGCTTTGAGGAGCTGAATGACTTCTTGAAATCGATCAAGTTACCTACCTGTGTAGTTTCATGAAACTAATTATGTTAATGTGATTTTTTTCGTTACATTGAACCTGAATCTTCTTAAGGTTGGATTGGTTTATTACTTTCAGTAAGCTTTCTTCTGTTTTCTTGTTCTGCTCTTTTTTTTTCCCTGAAGGTTTCCTTGTGATCTTATGAACATTTTAGTTTTTCTTTCATTTTTCCGTTTATGTGATTGATATTTCAGTTGCAATTCCTATACTGAATGCTTTTAACCTATCCTGATATATACCAAATAGGTGTGTACTAATGGTGAAATCAATGCGACGGCAGTTAGGACTGAAGCATTCAAACAAGAACCGCTTAGGCTCTTCAAACCGCAACAGCAAGTTGGACCTGCTTGGAGAAGATGGTTGGGTTGTAGTTAAAAAGCAGAGTCACCATTCTTATACCACCATTACCTTTGACCAAGAAATCAAAAATGGCAAACCAGAGACCTGGTCAATTAGAAGCCACGCCTGAAAATAAAGTGGAGGATCAATCAAGGCTCCCTATTCAAATGTCGCCCAAGTTGCCATATGTGTTTGGATGGGAGAAGTCGACTCCATGTGCTCGTAAAAAAGGTATTGAAATTGCTAGAAGATCTCCTGCTCAGCAAATTTCAACTTCAGCCAAATCTTCCGGTTATCGAGTGGAACCCAAGAATCCAGGTGGAGTGGTTATTTCAAAATCTCATAAAATACATAGAGTGCCTGAAGCCTCAAAAACTATCAGGAGCCTGAAATCAATTCATTGTCCTAATGTTGCCTTTTCTGGGAGCATGTTACTGAACCGAAGGCTGCGAGCGTTAAATCTTGAGAGGAAGCTTCAACAAGCTGGTGGCCTGATCAGGTGGCTAACATCATTAGGATTAGATCAGTTTGTAAGGATTTTCAGGCCAAAAGTATCAACAAATTCCAGTTAGTGAATCTAAATATGCAAAAGCTCAAAGATATGGGTGCAGATGCAGTCGGTCCAAGGAGAAAACTGATCCATGCTATCGATTGCGTCTGTCAGCCGTCTTGCTTGGAGGCCTTATAAGTATTCCTGGTGGACCTAGTTACCTTTCAACTGATGAATTAGAAGGTAGAAATGGAAGCATATAAGATCCAGTTTAAGCATTTGACACAAGTGGTTGAGATCAGAGATTGGTGCTACCTATCATTAAGCCAGGACAAAATCAAAAGGGTTATTCCAGGATGTGTAGAAAAAAGGTAATGATGTTGATTTTCACATGCCTCTTCTACTAGAAATAGTTTAGGAATAAAACTGTTGTTACTCAAATAACCAGCTAACCCTAATTCACCTTAGTTTAACACAAGAACATATATGCCTACATATCACATATTTTATTTTCGTTGCTTCCTAGAAAAGTTGTACCCTGGATTTAGTTGTACCCTGGATTTCGTTGCTAACCCTAAACCCTAGATGTAGTTTGAATACTATAATAATTTTAGTTGTAAAGTTGAAAAATGGGGACAATAGTGACCAAGAACTCCAATTATCTTTGTTTTTGAATCAAATTATAATCTTAGTCCCCATTTTAGGAACTAAGATTATAATTTGATTCAACAAATATAGGGACATGGGGAGAAAAATGTGGAAATAGTCTCCAAAAAACTTATACATAAAATAAAAATATTAAATTCAAAGATACAAAGAAAAATGTAACATTTCCTTAAAAATGACGTTCAACATCAAAAGAATCCAGTAACCTTCATAAAACTGTCTTTTTTGAATGAGACATTTTACGATGTGATAAAATAATGGTGAGCTAACAAAACAATTTGGCATGTTGTTTCGTTATACAATTTTGATTATATTGGCAAATAATATTTTATCAAAGAGATAGTTTGACAATACGTAATCACCGATAAACCAATTAGAAAATAAATGTTGTGAGGGTCTTTGTGCAAACGTCAACATGGTTGTATAGGTATGCGAAAAACATACCAAAATTATCGAGGAGCGTCTTACAAGAGAAAAGAAAAATGTGTTACAAAAACAGAGAAAAATACAAAGATAAAGTTTCTTATTTAAAATTAAAAAAACTCAAGAAATAAAAGGAAAATAAAGTACATAATATGAAAAAGAACAATAAAAATAATAATCACTTATGGTCGAGAACCAATATTAAAATTGATGTCGTTACTAGTTAAATAAAAAAATGACAGCACAAAAATACTAAAAGAAAACTTAGGTTAGAGAAAAAAGACACATTTTGTGGATATCAAATTTGAGTATAATAGAATGAGGATGATTTAATTGGGGAAGTAAAGCCGAGCACGTTACTAGAATTAAGTAGACGGAACTTGGAAACAAAATAAAGCGTAAAATATGGTAAGATTCCACCACCCATTAGATGTGCCCCACTGTCTTGTCCTTTGTTGAAAGTCCTTGAAGGATAAAGTCTAGATCTTTCACTTCTCAATATGCAAACTTGTTTACGGCTTCACAACAGGCATTAAACACTCTCAGGCCAGAGAGGCCCCCCTGATATGCGACGGATCTCCTTCAAACTTGAAGCCTGTTAACCATCCATCTTTTTCCACAATCTGGGAGAAAAGAAAAGAATGGAGAAAAATTCTGATACAATCCCTTTGATCAATCAATCATCATCTACAACAACAGAAGGGACTGCATCCAAATTTCAGACTATAGGCAACATCATAGTTTCAATTGTTGGAACCGGCGTTTTAGGCCTCCCTTTTGCTTTTCGGATTGCAGGTTGGCTCGCCGGATCCCTCGGTGTTATTGTCGCTGGCTTGGCTACTTTCTACTGCATGCTTCTCCTTGTTAGTATCGATTCTTTCCCTCCTTCAATATTGCTTTGTTTGTTTCTTGGTAGAACTTGTGTTTATATCCTGCAAAAACTACAACTTCATTGTATTTTATCAACCTTTTCTACCTCTAAGTTTGGTGCTAAAAGGGAATTTTCCTATACAAAATTGAAACTTGTCTACAACCCTAAATATAAGATTTTTAGAGATATCAAGGTCTAATTATAGATGCAATAACCAATTTATGTTCTGTTCTTCCTTTTTCTTATTGAGAAGTTGCTTAAGTTTTGAACTTTGGCCAACAGGTTCAGTGCAGGGATAAATTAGCATCAGAAAAGGAACTACAAGGGTCAATAACATATGGTGACTTAGGTTACAAATGCATCGGAAAACCGGGACGATACCTGACTGAATTTCTCATCTTTATCTCCCAATGTGGAGGATCCGTAGCATATTTGGCGTTTATTGGGCAAAATCTTGCATCTATTTTCAAAGGCCAAATGTTCAGTGTTGCATCTTACATATTCTTGTTGGTCCCCATTGAAATTGCATTATCATGGATAGGATCCCTCTCAGCCTTTGCTCCCTTCAGCATTTTCGCAGATATATGCAATGTGTTGGCAATGGGGTTTGTTGTTAAAGAAGATATAGAGCGTGCAAGCAGGGGAGATTTTTCGTTTCGAGACCGGAAAGCCGTGACTGATAACTTGGGAGGGTTGCCATTCGCAGGCGGGATGGCGGTGTTCTGTTTCGAAGGGTTTGGAATGACACTGGCTTTGGAGGCATCAATGAAAGAAAGGAAGACATTTCCCAAGGTGTTAGCCATGGCATTTACATGGATCACACTTGTGTATGTTTTGTTTGGATTTTTTGGTTACATGGCTTATGGTGATGAAACAAAAGATATCATAACATTGAATCTTCCCAAGAATTGGACAGCCATTGCAGTGCAGGTAATTTTATACATCATTAATCTCTTTAATCCTACATCTGCTACTGCAATTTCATAATCTAAACAGTCCTTTGTGCTTCATGACAACAGATTGGGTTGTGCCTGGGGCTCGTATTTACGTTCCCGATCATGGTTCACCCTGTTAATGAAATCTTGGAGGGGAAGTTGAAGAAAAATATATGGTTTCAAAAGCACAACAACAATGACGCTGAAAGTTCAGTCACAGGATTAGGAAAGCTGGGAATATACCTCAGTAGAGCCGCTCTGGTAGTCAGTTTGGCAGCCTTGGCATCGTACGTCCCAGGATTTGGTGTATTTGCGTCGCTTGTCGGGAGTACAGTATGTGCATTGATATCGTTTGTTTTGCCGGCCTCATTTCACCTGACTTTGATGGGATCATCTATGAGTTTGTGTCAAAAAGCCTTGGATTGTTTCATCTTGTTGTGCGGAATACTTTTTGCAGCATATGGTACATATAACACCATAGCTGGAGTATGAAAAAAAAAAACAAGAGAAAATTGGTTTTGGTTTCGAAAAATTTAGTTCTTCGATTCGATTAATGAAAAGCAACAGCAGACTTGTGAAGTTGCCCAAAATTATTGGATTTTCTTGTCGTGCGGATTGGTCTTTGAAATTCTTAAAAGCACCCAGGAAAAAGAAAAAAAGAATAGTATTGGTTTCAGTAAATTTTACATAAAATCGGTTCGGACAGGAATCCTGAACGTGTAAATCATGCGGGTTTAAATTGAGTGACCAAAATAAAAATGACTCAAAACTTTTTTGCCCATCCATATGGTTAATTTTTATTTTAATGTTTGGTCAAAATATGCTTCTAATCCCTCTACTTTTATATGGATAGTCAACAAAGTATAGAATTTTGGCTAATTCCTCTACATAAATTGCAAACTCGAGTATGAAAATTCTGAAATAGAATATTAAAATGTGGATTAAATATTTGGTATTTGGTTTTAAATTTTGGACTCATAAAGTATAGAATTGGGATAAAAGATAATTTCATATTTTTATCTCATGATTTATGAACCTCGTAATATCGAAATAGATTTGTCTTCCTTGAGTGATATAGTTCGGGCCGGGTATTGGTCCCCCGTCCCCGTCCCCGTTTAAAAAACCGGTACCCGTCCCCGTTTAAAAAACCGCGGGGATTTAAACGGAGATCCCCGTCGGGTAATCGGGAAAAACCGCGAGGAAACGGGTATCCCCGTTTAGCATAAACGGTTATTTAAACGGGTATTGGGACGGGTATTGGGTCGGGTATTGGGTCGGTATTAGGCCGGGAATCGGGCCGGGTATATATATATTTAAATTAAATATATATTTTTTATTTAAATTAAATTTATTAATATTATATATATATATATATATATATATATAATTATTTTTAATATTTATCGGGTCGGGTATCGGGGCGGGTAATCGGGTAATCGGGGCGGGGATTACCAAACCCGTCCCCGTCCCTGTCCCCGTTTAAAATAAATGGGTTTTTCCCGTCCCCGTCCCTGTTTATCATCCCCGAACCCGACCCGTTTAATTCGGTTTTCGGTTTTTCCCGTCGGGTTCGGGTTTTTTTGCCATCCCTAGATATACCTTTTATGAACATTGTCATTATGTGTGTTTTGATTTTTTTTAATTAAACTAAGGTGATTACAAAGTAGTATATATTCAAATACTCTCAACCATTTGACAATAAACGTTCAATCACCCTTGAAGTTGCTGATGCTCAAACCAATAACCTCTAGGAATATTAACTATTCCTTTAGCCACTGAAATAAGTTGGTTCGTACAAATATTTTGATTGTTTAGAATGTGTGATTATTGAAATAACGTATTTAATATTTATATGGTTTTCGTTACATAATTCATAGAATTATGTATATTTAAACTGTTATGTGATAATACCACTAAAATCAATCAATAAATCCACACTTTTATTCTAAATTAAGTGTGCACAATGTATACAATGCATCTATTAAACATACTTGAATATTATGTACTTATGACTCATTTGTATGCTTGTCATTCTTTGACTTTTTTCTAGTTAATTTTTTTTTTCATTTAGTTTGATTTATGATTAATTTGATTAATTTATGTAACATCCATTTTCTCTATTTTATTTTATTTAAAGGTACACTAAATTTTATAATTCTTCAACTTTATTTTCCTTTTCAGATTGACACATATTCTATGTTCAGATTTAACATCATCTGGAGAGTCTCGATTTCAACTCTATTTTTAATTTTTAAATATTACTCTTTATTTTTTTTTTCTATTTGTGGTTTTAGAACTGTTTCATACTTAAATTTATGTTATATTTTTATTCCTATGGACTAGTCTAAGTTTTAAATCCATTTTTCGGTGACACTGTGGGTTAGATTATAATATCTAAGTCGAGTCAGAGATGTTACATTACTTATGTAAATTTATTTTTTTAAATATTGTTTAATGTACTAATTATATTAATAATATATTAAATATAATATTTTTAATAAAATTTTAATAGTCAAACAAAAGTAATTCTATGAAATTTTATGCAAATATTTTCAAGCGATTATTTTTCTTGAATAGTCTGATTGTAATATATGTTTAGAATTTTCTTAAGAAGAGATAACACACATTACAGACGCAGTTGCTCGAACTTAAAATCTCTAAGGAGAATAACATTTCCTTTTTATCATGAGACCACTTGATGAATTCTTTTCAAGTGATTATTGAAAGTTTAACTTATAAAAAAGAAAATATATCATAAGGGTAATGTTGTAAAAAATACTTCCATATAATCTTATATACCCGAACTAAATCGTAATTTTATTTTCTAATAAATAAATTAAATAAATAAGATAATTTACATTAAGTGATATAAAGTAATACTACATTATAAAAATTTTATTCTTAAAGTTAATCTTACGAACATAAAACACCTTAGATTACAAGGTTTGTCTCTATGATTTAAAATAAAAACATAATGCAAACAAATACCCCTAACATTTGACAGTATATGCAAATTTACCCATATTATATTTTTGGGAACATTTGACCCCACAACGTTTTATTTTGACTCAAAAGTCACCATGTTGGATGGAAACCGTTAGTCAATTTACGATTAACGCCTCCAGCTGACTAAGTAAACACATGTGGACACAAATGATGGCATGTCCACGTCACTAAAGTGTACTGACGTGGAATTGACACGTCAAATTTTATTTTTTATTAAAAAATTAATATTTTTATGAGAATTTTTATGTCATTCTTCTATTAGTGTGAATTTAGAGGAATGAAGAAAAACCCGTTTTACGTGAAAGAGGAGTCGAACCAGGGGTACAAGTGTAAAATAGTATGCCTCTTACCACCAAGCCAAACAGACTACTCAATTTTATAATGAAACAAATCCTTATTTAACCCATAATTTCTTTTCAATTTAATCCAAAATAATTGGATTGTTCCGAATGCACCCGCCCTACTAATAATCTTCTCCAAGAAAAACAGAACAAAATGAGAAGAAGAAGCCCTAGTCATCTCCCCTTCGGATCTGTCCCTCTACTAAACCCTTCAAATCTAAGCCGTCCATTTGAACACTTTACTTTCAGGGCAACCTTCTCCTGCGCCCACCTTTCTCTCTCCCTCGAGAACCAAACAGATTGGCTCATCTCCCAGGTATTTGCATTTATAATCAGTAGTTTCCTTGATCTTCTTTAAGTTTCTGAGGAATTCGGCATCAGTGATTTGGTTTCTATTGTAGAGTAAACATGAACTTGAAGCATTTAGTTTTTAGGAAAACAATCAATGCAAAGCGTGTTTCTGTTAAGTCCAAGGATTTATCAATCATTTCAGCCGCAATATCTCCTTCCCTCCATCCAGGAAGTAGTGGTTAAAGCTATGCTTATCTTCAAAACCCTAAAAACCCTAAACACATTTTCCGTTTTCTTATATATATTCACTCAACCCGAGAAACTAGGCTAAGTTATGCTAGTGTTGAAGTAAAACTTGTGTCTAGTGATTCTGAGGATGAAGATGATGGAACTGTGAACGAGTTTTTATCTCTATTCATTTGGATAATGAGAGGAATTTAAGTGAAGTATACACGGATTGTAATAAGGAGACAATAGATGGGATACTTTTAGTTATTGTGGAGAAGGGTGGTGGTGGTATTCAGCAGATGGTTGGTTCGACTGTGGCGACCCTCGCAGGAATTTATTGAAGATTTATGGAGGACTGTACGGGAAGTGAGTAATATGGTGTTGGAGGATATGGAGAAGGCGAGGAAGAAGGAGAAAATGAAGCTGTTTTTGCAATCGGAAGAAGTGAAAGAAATGTGTAGATTTGCGGGTGAAGTTGGGATTAAAATGAAAAGAAATTATGGGTTATATAAGGTTTTGTTTTGTTATAAAACTGAGTAGTCCGCATGGTCTGGTAGCAAGAGGCATACCGATTCATGCCATTGCTCAGGTTCAAGTACCTTTCCATGCAAAATGGGTTTTTCTTTTCTTCCTTTAAATTCGCACTAATAAGAGAGTGACACGTTTCGCTCTCTCATTGGAAAACAAAATTCTCATAAAAATATTAAATTTTTAACAAAAAATAAAATATGACGTGTCAATTCCATGTAAGTATACTTCCACGTCATCATTTGTGTCCACATATGCTTGCTTAGACAGTTGGAGATGTTGATCGTTAGTGACTAACGGTTTCCATTTAACGAGGGTGACTTTTGAATCAAAATAAAACATTGTGTGGTCAAATGTTCCAAAAAAACAATAGGGGTAAATTTACATATACTGTCAAACGTTAGGGACATGGTATCTAATAGCGTTTCAAAAACGTGATAGCGACCGTGATATTGTGGTCACACTACTGTTCGAAACCGGTTTTCATAGTTTTTGCGGTGGGTCACGGATTCACACCAATCTCGGTCGATTGCGCCCGCGATTTAATGGAAAACAAACGATTGCGCCGATAATGAGACGCAATAACCGTTATCCAACGTGATTCCAAAACAAAAAACATTGGTGGCACAGTTTTTTTTCCAAACAATGATGGGGGGAAGGAGGAAGGGGGAAGGAGGAAGGCCAAAACCATTTTTGTTTCACACAATGATGGTGGGGGGAGGAGGAGCCAGAACCAGAAAGGTGAGGAAGATGAGGCAGAAAAGTCGGGGAAGGGGAGGGGTGATTTATTTATTTAATAATTTTTAAAATATAATTTTAAAGGATATATTAATTTGAGATCCCTCTCACTTTTAGAATTTATAATTTAATCCCTAGTTTAAAATGTAAACTTTAATTTTTATTTAATTTAGTATTAATTTCAGTAATATAAATTTATGCAATTTAAATTTTACAATTTTATTTTAATTATATTTAATTTAGTTATTTTAGGGTAAGTTGTGCGACATTTAAAAAAATTCACGACTACGATACCCGCAATGACATCCGTTATGTCCGCAACCGTGATAAACACGAAGCGACCGAAAATGTGACCACGAACGCTATTTTAAAACCCTGGTTAGGGGTATTTGTTTGCATTACGCATAAAATAAAACTAAAGCACATCCCAAGACTCATGAATGTGAAGACACAAGTTGGAGACTTAATTATAAGGAGAAAATGAAGATATCGGAAAAGAAATGCAATCTTCATTTCCTTGTAGAATCGAATCTCTTTCATGATTTACAAATCTCATCTCATCTAAGTAGGATTTACAAATCTGTTGATTACAACTGAGAAAGGAACTTGATGTTATCTAAACTGACAAATCTAATAGCCCTTCCAATTTATCTTTTCCATTTTTCACCATTTGAAAAAGAAAAAGAACGTATAAAGAGTCTCAAAAACAGCAGAAAAAGTAGAACCATAACCAAAATCACAGTTCTGTTTCAAAGCAGCCTATGCTTTTGCTTTTTTCCCTTGCTTTGGGGTCGGGTGCAAGTGAACTCATTCTAAATGAACTTGTTTGGTTACGTAACAATGTCGCTGGAGTCGAACTTCTTGGCCTTGGGAAATAGTGTGCTTTCTCTAAGACCCGGTACTGAAGCTCGGAAGGATAATCCCTCATGCAGCTAATGCGCGGCCCCGCACCAGACGACCACTTGGATGATAACTGATCAGCTAGTTGATACGACTTTGGTTCTTTATGAGAGTCTATCCTTCTCATTATTTTTTCCTTTGGAATAGGCTTCTCATCTTCCTCCTGTTCATCATCTTCACCGAGCAAATTGGTCTTAGTGCAGAGAAATTCCTCTTCGGATAAACATTCATCCGATGATTCGTAGCCACAATCCGTTGCTTCACGTCCGCCTTGCGCCGCGGATGTTTCGGTCTTGGAGACGTTGACCACATCATCTCTTGCTGGTATTTCGAGTCCTCTTATTTTCGAGAGTAATCCTCGAGACCATCTTGACATGGATTTAATGGCATTTTGGGTAGCATCGCAATCTTGCTCTTTCGAATCAGTGTTGGCTTCAGTTGAGTTTTCATTATTCGTTGTCTCAATGTGCTTCGAGCCTTCATTTTCTGGTTCGTTGCCATGAACGATATTACTCTTTATGCTAAAGGCTTCGTCATCTTCACAGGGGCTTTGCTGTTAAAACAGTCACAAGAATTGCATTAATGCTTGTCAAAAAGACATGAAAAAGTAAGAAAAATACGTTCTTTACCTTCACATTTGTGAGGTCAACATGGTGCTCTTGAAGAAATGAGATGAACTCTTGGAAATTCTCTTCTGTTGGGAGATAGTGTCCACTGTGAGGCCAGATCGCCTTCAAAACACCGTTTTCAATGACTAATCTTCCGGCGGACAACGTCGCTCCACCGGCTAGAAAACTCGAATGCTGAAACGTGCCTTTCTTCTTCATTCCTACATACAAAGTCTTAAACGCACTAAGAACAAAAATCCACTTAGTATCTGTCGGTCCTCCTGTGGTATCCAGAACTTGCTCGCTCTGCTTGTAAACGAACTTCCCGTTCCTTATTACTACTTCGAAAGAATCCCTTTCCGCCTACAAATCCACAACAACAACAATTTCAAGCCTTCAACTTGAAGATCGTTTCAAAGGGGAAAACAAATAATCGAGAACGAAAACTCAAGGCGGATTAAACTCACAGGACCAAGATATTTGATGCATTGCTGTTGAAGCTTCGATCGAGGGCACTTTTCAAGAATGACTTCTCTCCCGTCTCCGATATCAAGCCTGTATGTAGGAAACAAAAGGATTGGTTTCTGACGTTGTTGAAGAGAAAATACCATTGAAATCTTACCAATAGAAAAAAGGCTGTTGACTTTCACAGTGAAGCCATGTGGCATAGTAAAATTGGAGATTATGACCATAACGATGCCTAGGATCAATCTGTAAGCAACAAGAAGACATGATTATTGAAAACTAGTAGTTTGGCTTGATGTTTCTTCATTCTTAGGATGGTAATTACCGCCTCAAGCCAATGCTGCAGAGCAAGCTTTCGAGCTTTTTCATCTTTAGACAATCCTTTTCCCACCTGCAAAAGAAGACAACATTCAGCACCATCATCCATAATTACATCAAATTCTTCACAACTCATCTTACTTTGGCTGCTCTTGTTCTTGCTCTAGACCATCGTGAAATGGCGGTCTCCTGTTTTTCGATTTCGAAGAAGGATATAGAGCTTCTCTTAAGTTCAGCAAAATCTAACAACTTCCACCTACAAATGGATTATCAAAAATTAGAATATGCAGTTTGGACACATGAAAACTTTTTGATTCATTTTTGCTTTCCTGGTTGCCAATATCTCCTTGAAGGAGTAGGCAAAAGGATTGAAACAGACCATCTCTGCTCAGCAACAACTGCACAATCTGCTAGTTGCCTCCTGGTCCGGAAGCTCTTGTAAACCTTCTGCAACTTCAATGCAGCCTGGTATTGCCGTCCTCCGTGCTCGGCGAAGTTCGAAACTGGCTTTTCGTGGATGTTATCGTTCCTCAGTTTCATACATCTTTCTGTTTCAACAAAGCTTGAAGATTCTTCAAGACCTTTTGGTTCAACTCCTTGATCTGAAGCGACCCTTTTGAAACTGAGAGACTGCAACATTGTCTTAACGCTCACATCTTTGAAACTTAATGATTTTCCAAGCATGGATTGAACCTGGTCTTCCAGGCTTCTGAGACTACCAATAGGACTTGAAAATTTGGATCCCATGACGTCTCCTCAGATAAAGATGTCAACTAGAAGATTTATGAGGTCTCAATACCTAACAATCAATACAATCTGGTTTCAATATTCCAATGGTAATGCCATTTTAAGTGAAAGAAGAAAGAGAATGTACATCACCTTAGCATTTTAACACCAGAAGAAAGAAAACATTGATCAATCAACAACAAAAAGCGAAATGAAATAAAACAAAGAGTGGGGCTAAAAACGTGAGAAACACCGAAGAATGTGTTTCACAAAGGACGTACGGCCTTCGCCTTCGCTGCAAATGCTATTCTTGAAACCTCTATTTATAAGAGAATCACACAATATCCCACCACGTACTCTTTTCACTCAAATGGACCTATCTTTTATTATCAATAAAATATCAATCATTCTTTTATGACGGAAGACATTTAATTACTGGTTACCAGAATCACTAAACGATATTAGTGATAAAATTATGTTCTTTTCTTTAAAATTTTTGAGTTGGTACAGCTATATCTATAATGTGTATTATTAATGATTAATTTTTTTAAGTAGATATTATCTTATAACCACTTGTAATATTAGAAAAATATTAATCATCACCTCACGTTTATCTCACGGTAGATTACAAAAGCCAAGGTTTCAACTTATCATTGGATAGAGAATTGAAGTTAACTCAAATTATTTTTAAAGTGTTGTACTTGTATTTTTTTTAATCAATTTTTTATATGAATTTATCATCTTTATAAACATAATACATGATTTTTTAATAAATTCGGTAAATATATTTATCAAATATTATCTATTTAATATTTTTATTAGTTAACATTATACATTTAATATTTTTATTTGTTAAAATATCACACGAAATAATTTTTTTTTGAAAAAATTAAATTAAAATAATAAATAAATTATAAATTATAAACAAATTGTAATTTAAATGTGTAATGTTTGATAAATACAGTATGAAATTGGAAACAAAGAAAACACATGTATCACATAAGTAAAAGTAAAAAAAAATAAATTAAAGTATCAAATGTGCAATGTTTGATAAATATAAGTATCAAATTAATTGAAACAATAAAATAATAACATAATTTTAAATACCAAACGGTATACTAAGCTAGTATTGTCCCTTCAAATTTCATACTCTTCGTTTACTTTGGAATAGTACCAAATGGCAATTTGCATTAACCTGAGTAAGCTATTAAGGTCTAAGGTAACATTAAAGATCGTTTGTATCAGATTCAATACAAATCGTTACCCATGATTTGCTACCACTTTGGTCTTGCTCCTCCACTTGAACCACAGTCGGTGGTGAAGCTATAGAAACTAGTTGAGTCGGAGAGCTTTGGACCGTGGATGATGGTGGAAAGAAAGATACTTCGTTTTACAATAAAAATGACTTAAGGTAGAACATTTATAAAGTAATATTCGATAAATTGATAATCTTTTTAAAATAATATTTTTTTCTATCCTGACTTGGATCTAGTATCTAAATTAATAATTTTAATAAATTAATAAGATAATAATTTTCGGAAAGATTCTTATATAAATTTATAGCTACTTCAATATTTTAAATTAATAATTTTATAAAATTACAAATATAACTAGGGCAGCTTAGTAAAATGTGTTTATATCGTTGTTTGCTTCTTTTTAAAATTTAAATCTAGATGTTTTTCATCTCTAACTTTTCTTACTGTATCAAAAAGTTTTGGTGTTGGGTTCTCATACCGCAACAAAAAATTATAAAGAGTTGTTGCCGCTATGAGTGCTTCCTTCCGCGTAATTGGTTACAAAGACATTGTATCATCTTTAGTTTCATCTTGAATAGGATTTTCAATAACACTAGCTACAAATTCTTCTAAACTTTGAACCTATGAACATGTATCATTTTCACTCAGGTAACCCAATAGGTGATTGACATCTATTTTATTGTTGTACCCAAGGTCATTAATTATTGTATCAAGTTACTGAAACTTTAGTAGTTCCTTTATTTAAATTTCCTGAGGCTAGTTTGTCACACCCTATTATGGGGGTAAATTTTCCTATTAATATAAATATGAAGTTTAAAGAGTAGTTAAATTAAACTATTGGGTTTACTAAGAAATATTAAGAGGATTTAAGGACCTTAAGTATAATTTTTCCTTTCTTTGGCTTTAGGAAGTTCTGAAATTCACGTGAGATTTCTCTTGATTGATGGATTTTTTTTTTTTTTAAATCAAGAACCATAAATAGAATATATTTTTGAAGAGTTTGTCCAGTTTTAAAATGAGAAATGGTGAGACGTGAAAGCTAAGCCAAAACCAACCAGGAATCAACCAAATTGCACCCAATTATTACAACCTGAGCCTTAACAATGATGGCCATAGACCAAAGAACTGATTGGTACATCGAAACAGTAAATCTCGATAGACCACCACCAAGCTCAGCTGAGCTCTGACAGCATTAGAGGACTGTTGATGCTAGCTTCGTTCATGCGTAATGTCTTCACATGCAACCACTAGAAATCGTAACGTCTAAAATACCCTTGTTGTCCTGAATAATGGAATCACTCTCAGTAAATCTGAATCTTGAATTATTCTGATGTAAAGGTTTCTGAACACCTTCTTGATGCACCTGAATCATAAAGGGGTCCTGAAGTATCAACTTTAAATGTCTTATTAGATCGTTAGTAATCGATCCATTTTAATAGGACCTCATTCGTTGAATTCGATCAAATTCCATAAGTTTCATGTTTTCTATTCCTGATAACTACCAAGTGCCTCTGAAAAGTATTTGGATCCTCTAGTGTGTTCTCTTCAGACAAAAATGTTTTTTAGTTATATTTATATAAAGTACGATTTCTGAGATTTGGTTTCTAATTACTTGTTTCTGATCTTTGATTTTTTATTTTTGATATTACTATAACCAAGTGCCTCTGAAAAATACTTGGATCCTCTAGTGTATTCCCTAAGGTAAGTCCTTATGGATGCAGTTATAAGAACTGTGGTATTAAAAATATGTTTTAAACTGCTATTGTTCTAAAAGATATGTACACTTTCTCTGGTTTTGTTGGAGCACAATAGACTCCTCATCTCAATCTCATGAATATTTCTCTCTGAATATTTCATTCATATTTTGATATCCTGATGGTTACCTAAATGAATAATTAATGAAATCTGAGCTTGTTACTAGACTCTTATGATGTCTGTATCGTTAAGAAAATTTATGCTTTACCTTATACCCAGTGACCTATTGCATTCATCTGGTAGTTCTGTATTACTAAGCTTTACAAAACTCTCTCTGTTACTTACCATTTCAGGTTAAAGAGTTTGATCCTGTGCTTTTACAGATATCAGTAAAGGAGTTCCACCGACGTTGCTTGCGGAGTACGGTGCATGTAATTAGGGGGCATGTAGGTTGTATTTTGTTTTTATATTCGATTCTAAAACTTGTTTTATTATTGGCTATTGTTGAATGCTATTTTTAATAAATAAATGATTTTCTGAACTTGTATTTTATCTATAAATTATTTTACAGTTTTAAATGGATTAACAAAAAATTTAAATTTTCCAGGATTTTCAGTTTGGATCGCTTTGGTGACCCTAATGTGATACCCCAGATCGGATCGAATCACCCGTATCGATCTGAGTGTGTTACATTTAGGGGTATAAGAGCTTAGGTTGAGTCGTGTCTTCTGGATAGATTGGTCGATCGATTGTCCTAGAATGTCTGGTCAGTGCATGCCCCTAAATTATAATCGTACTCCTCTAAGATAGAACTCTGATGATGAGTCATTTCTTTGTAGTAAAAGTGCCTAACTATTATGATCGTTTAGGAATACCTCACAGGTAACACATAAGTTACATGTTTAAGGATCTTAACCTCTCGCCTGACATGGATATGAGTTTCATTACCCCAAACGTTTAGTGATGATAAGCTAGTAGCTAAACTTTAAAAGTGAGATTTTGAGATTTAGATATGCTATCCAAGTGTGTTTAAGAGCAAGGTAGCTGATCCAAGCTTAGACAGGTGTTCCCTCTAAGGTTTTACTGTGATGTACTGAAATGAAGAATATCTGGAATCATTCTTATTCTAATCTTATGAGAATGAAACCCGGTAAATGTTGAGCCTTATACTCAAATATTTAATCCGTTTGGAATTAAAGGAAAATATATGTGTACTTGGTAAAAGTGTAAATCTCAAGGCCATTTTGTTACTTCTGAAAGAAAACAATCATGTTTTCATGTTGCACTGAAGATAAGCAAATGTTATTCTGATTAAAGATCGATAATTAAGGTTCGATTGGTTCTACAAGAAGATTTCTATTTAGATTTTTGGAATTTTGATAACGAATAATTATAATGAGTATGCATATTAAACTAGTTAAGGCTTATTGGAGGAGACACAATCTGTAAAATATACACGAGAGATTGAAGAATTAAAGAAAGTTTCACTTATGCATTTATGTAGTTTGGGTAAATTTCGAGGACGCACTTTTTTTAAGAGGGGAGAGTTGTCACACCTTATGGGGTTAGTTTTTCTACTAATATAAATATGAAGTTTAAAGAGTAGTTAAATTAAACTATTGGGTTTACTAAGAAATATTAAGAGGATTTAAGGACCTTAAGTATAATTTTTCTTTTCTTTGGCTTTAAGAAGTTCTGGAATTCACGTGAGATTTCTCTTGATTGATGGATTTTATTTTTTTGAAAAAAAATATCAAGGACCACAAATAGAAGATATTTTTAAGAGTTTGTTCAATTTTAAAATGGAAAATGGTGAGATGTGAAAGCTAAGCCAAAACTGACCAAGAATCAACCAAATTGCACCCAATTATTACAACCCGAGCCTTAACAGTGATGGCCATAGATCAAAGAACCGGTTGGTACATCAGAACAGTAAATCTCGATAGACCACCACCAAGCTCAGCTGAGCTCCGATAGCATTGGAGGACCGTTGATGCTAGCTTCGTTCATACATCATATCTTCACAAACAACCAAATAATAGATCGAAACAACAACCAGGAAACATGAGA